TATTTCATAGTATTGAAATGAGTGCCCTACCAAAGGTAACAGCATGATGGCTACCTCTTCTAAAAACGGCTACAAAACAGATCCCTCCATTCTACCCCTGAAATGAAATTTTTCGAATTTTGATGAGGTTTTGTTGTCTCTATTCTTTTAGAAAGTTTCATCATTAAGTGTATTGTAACGACTTACCTTCGTCAGCGGTCTCTCAGTGCATCACTTGATTGTGTCTGCCGACATCTAGTGGCCAAAAGTGTAAAGCAATAAGCCATCGAGAAGGGAAATGGTAGTTTTAAATAAATCAACTATCAATCAAATTACAGGTCGGATCTAGTTTCTTGTTTGAAAATAGCAAACACATTACACAGGCATTTAGTTAAGCATCCGGCAACGTTTTTTGTTTTTTTTTTGTCGTAGGAAGGGTGACAATTTACATGTAGTGGTCATTCTAGAAACACCTAAATACATATTCTTGCTGACTAAATTCTTTCCAATTCAATAAAGACAGTTACATTTGTTGAACTTCATTTTGGCTTCGCACATACTCCGATTCGCGGCTCGACATGCTAGCGGTATTAACCGCCATGCTAACTGGTCAAAACCAGACTGAGCTATACTGTATAATAAAAGAAACATTTAAGACTTCAACGTCTTTTTCTTATACTCGAATAATAGTGTTGCCTTGGTTTGGGCGATAGACTCCATTTTGAAAATATGAAACATAGAACACGTCTGCATGTCTCCTAGCAACAGCGACATCCACATGGGCCCGCTCAGCCAACGCGCGTTATGGTTCAATGCAAGAATTTGTCATTTTTGAAAATGTTGAAAACAGACATGAACCCCAGTTATGGCTTCTAATAACTCTTCAAACTTGTTTACTTTTTTTTATTTCATAGTATTGAAATGAGTGCCCTACCAAAGGTAACAGCATGATGGCTACCTCTTCTAAAAACGGCTACAAAACAGATCCCTCCATTCTACCCCTGAAATGAAATTTTTCGAATTTTGATGAGGTTTTGTTGTCTCTATTCTTTTAGAAAGTTTCATCATTAAGTGTATTGTAACGACTTACCTTCGTCAGCGGTCTCTCAGTGCATCACTTGATTGTGTCTGCCGACATCTAGTGGCCAAAAGTGTAAAGCAATAAGCCATCGAGAAGGGAAATGGTAGTTTTAAATAAATCAACTATCAATCAAATTACAGGTCGGATCTAGTTTCTTGTTTGAAAATAGCAAACACATTACACAGGCATTTAGTTAAGCATCCGGCAACGTTTTTTGTTTTTTTTTTGTCGTAGGAAGGGGTGACAATTTACATGTAGTGGTCATTCTAGAAACACCTAAATACATATTCTTGCTGACTAAATTCTTTCCAATTCAATAAAGACAGTTACATTTGTTGAACTTCATTTTGGCTTCGCACATACTCCGATTCGCGGCTCGACATGCTAGCGGTATTAACCGCCATGCTAACTGGTCAAAACCAGACTGAGCTATACTGTATAATAAAAGAAACATTTAAGACTTCAACGTCTTTTTCTTATACTCGAATAATAGTGTTGCCTTGGTTTGGGCGATAGACTCCATTTTGAAAATATGAAACATAGAACACAGGACTTACCTTAGGTTTACCCATGGTCGATGTTAATTATTAGCGTGATAGCATCATTTCTGCAGTGTCATGTAGCTTCACTTTGCCTCCCTTTTCCTCTAGTCAAGATGGCTAAAAAGAAGTTCTAGTTATAGGGTTGGGTGTGTCAGAGAAGTTCAGAGCACAAAAAAAGCCATTCGGGGGGGAAAAAAAATTACAAAGTAGAAATTTTGTCCTTGGCCATTATCATGATCAGTCCCCTGTATGGACTACCATAGTATGAAATTCACGTTGCATCATGTCTCACCATATTATTTTATAATTAATCACAAGAAAACACACAAGATTTCGTTTGGTTTTTTTCATTATTATTCTGTGGGATATTACATGTGACCATAGACGTCCAGGATGTTATTAACAGTGCCTTGAGGATACAGTCAAAGTCTCAATACACACAATTAAGGTACAAAGTATGCGGGGCGGGAGTGGATTTACGAAGTTACATCAGTACAGTGACGAGGACATGGAAAACAATCATTTAAAAAATAAAAAAACTAATAGCAACAGAGCTCTAAGCAGAAAACCATGTCAAAAGAATAAACAAAATGCTACGAGAGATCATGATGACAAGGAGTGGCGTCACTCAAGGATCAGTATTCGGACACCTGTGAGTGCGTTTCTATGGCGACACCTTCCGCTTTGGGCAAGGCATTATGCAGAGTCAGGTTCGTTACTAAGGCTTTGTATGGCACGTCTGCTCTGCAACACTACGACGACAAGCACGCGCAAACGCTTCTATTCCAACAACACCCCTGTTCCATCTTCATCCCTTTAAAAAAAGGCACTGGTATTTCTCCACATTCGAACATCTGGATAACTTTAAGATGAGCGAGGCAATGAGGATGCACGATTAAAAAGACGCACAGGTACACACACGGGCCAGCCGGGTTAAAGCAACTCCCTGATGATGCTACCAAAGTCTTTTTTTTTGTATGTTTTGTTTTTGTCGTTCCTTTTCGCTTAACAGTCTGCTGACGGCGGAGGCAACAGGATATGTAAACGTCGACAAGGCTATTACATTGTCATGACAAAACAACGTGGTCCTTCCGAGGTACCTTCCATTTTACAGCTTCAAATCGGGATGAACTAAAGATGGATTTACACTGGCAGGTCAGCATGTGCTCAATTTCAATTCAATGTGTATACATTGAACTTTCGTGACTCTTAGTCTTTTTTCGCAGAGGATATTAATATATGCCTTTGAGTATTTATAATTTTTGTCTACATGTGTGGACGCACCATTTGTGTTCTAATATCCGTTGCTTAAAGCCTTAACATCACCATATAGGTGGTGTTAGCTTATAAAATTTTTGCCTGCAAGTCAAAGAAATAAAACCAGCCGATGGTTGGCTCGTATCTCGAAAAGCTCTTGAATTGGGTCACTCGGCTCGCAAGGCACCACCGTCTAAACTTTTTGTTTGATGGTAAATATGATTTTTTTTCTTTTTACGTTGCCATGCCCCAATAGCGTAAATCCAGCCTTGCATAATAAATTTCGACACCCTCAGGACACATTGTAATGCGTACAACATGTTTTCTTGTTGCAAGGAAATCCTGTTTTGGGTTATGCACACAGTGAACAGGACACCAAACTAGTCTACACACTGAAACTGGCTGCTACTTACGCAAGCTAGGAATGATTTTTCTCTCCTTGTTTGTTTTCTAAGGTGATTGCAGTGACAGGTAGAAAGATTTTATCTCCTCTCACTCCTTGTTAAAGTGTCTATTCTAGAATTCACTGTGGCACAAAAGCACTGGAAGCGATTAGAAAAGAAAAGTCATTTTTCCCCCACCTCAGGAGTTTTATATTTTAAAAGTGTAAATTGGCATTTAAAAAATATGCGATCAAGGTTGCTTTCTGTGCAATAATTAAGAAGGTCAATAAAACGTCAGAGGTGAATTATTTTAACTGATTCCTGGTCTTAAAAAGCTAAGCTACACTCAGGTATGACTCATCATTGTTTAAATTTATAAGAAAAAGGAAAATTTAACTCAACTTTTACTCTTCAAACAAAGAGTAGCTCGGTTGGGTTGCATTAAACTAAATTGAGATGAAGCTAAAATAAACTAAACTTAAAGAAGCAAAACAAAGCTAAACTCAATTGAGGTTCCGGCAGTGTTACAGATGTAAGACTAGTAACAGTGTGTAAATTTAGCAGGAACATTTTAAATTTTAGGCTAAGATATGTTAATATGAGCCAAAAAAAATCATCTCAGATAAACTAAACTGAGATAAAGCTCATGTTGACGTTACAAATTTCCAAAAGGTATCAATTTTGTAAAAAAAGATTTCACGCCACAATAAAAGGAAAGCGAAAATAAATAGAGATGAACAAAAACAATGCTTATTTTTAACATACTGTAAGAATGCTTTTGACTCTTCTAAATTTTAGAGAGAAAGCACAAACTTATCACCAAAATGGAACTTTACATTTCAAACTACAGTCAGAGAAGATATCCTCAGCTAACTAGCTAAGCTAAGCGAAATAAGTGGTGTGTTTGGAAGTTCAGGCTAACGCCCTAACATGAGTAAAAGTGCGAGTGTTCCGAGAGGCAGTGTGCTCCCCTTCTATAATTTAACCAACACAGCCACGTATTTGGTGTTGTTTTGACAAGAGAGACGACTGTAAACATTAGCTGTGACTTTCATTCACGCCTCTAAACAGCAAACAACTTCAGAAAAGCCCCAGCTGTAGCGCCACCAAATAACCACCAACAAAAAGTAATATCTAAACAACTTTAGTTGTATTCAGGGTACACAAATAGTAAATTAGGTTGTTTAAATCACCCCGTCAGCCCAAAACCCTCCCAACTAGCGCGTACGGTTTCAATTCCAAGAGTACGCTCTGGCACTCCTATTTTGTGGCACTCTGAATGACCAAATGCTCTGAGTTTTCGAGCGGTTGGAGTGAAGCAATGCATTCTCCGAATACTTATCCAAACACATTCAAGATAACAGATGACTGTAAAATTTACATATTATATTTCATGAGCAAAAAACAGAGCTTTTCCTTGCTATAAAGTCGAGAGGCAATTCTTTGACCCTAACTCTCTGTGCCACATCAAAGTAGAAGGTGATTAATTACGGTACTATACTTTTTTTCTATAGTAATGAAACAAAAAGTATACTAGCATGTCTCATCTTCACTGGTATTTTATGTAAACAAAGATGAGGTAAGCTAGCAAGGTTGAGTGAAGCGTCGCTAAGCTAAACTAAGCAAGTAACAGCTTCCTCATGTTGTCGGAATGTTTCAACATTTTTCTGATTTTCATTCTCTGTTGAAACCAGGAAAGCAGTTTTGTTTGGAGTCCCAGAATGTTTTGTCTCACTTAATTCATTTTGCCAGCTTTTCGCTAATAAGAACACTTAAAATTACATGGCGGATTCATTTGGGCAGTGATGACGGTCATGAAGAGCTAATAAACATCAAGTTCTCGGAGAATTGATGTTGAAAAACATTGGACGGTTCCAGTGCGCTTGTGCAGAAGACAAAATACTGTACAAAGTTGCAAAGTGCGCTAACCACACTTTTCTAGCTGTACATATATGTTCAATAAATCAATCACTCAATGTGTGATCTATCATAAGACGTTGATTTTTTTTTTTTTTTTTTAACTGTGCGTAAACTATTTTGAGTCAATTTCCAAGTGCTAAAAAAACAATCATACAGATTGGACCACTTTGGACAGAACACAGTAGTAAAAAAAAAAAAAAAAAGTGGACACTGTAGTTAATTTCATTTGGAGAGTAGTCATGACATTTGAATTAATGGAGTTGTTCCATTCCCGTCAGACATAAAATGGCTGTGCGCTTTGTTGACAAGAGTCTTTTTGAAATCTGTGGATCTTTACGCCATTTCGGAATGGACTTGAAAATAAAAAACATACACACTTCTCCCAATTTGGGGTGAATTAGCTTTTTTTTTTTGGAAGCTAAAAAAAATAATTGAGGATGATGCTGGGGAGGGGAAAAAAATGTAGTCTGTTACCGAGTGCATTTGTGATCAGTCTCTCTGCTGTGGCTGACTGCTACTTGAAGACATAGTTGATAACCACTTGCAGGGCGATGAGGGCCACGATGATGACATAGTCACGCTGCTGCAGGAAGGAGGTGCCCTCCGTCCGGCTTGCCGTTCGACTCCTCAACACGCTGATGCTCCTAAGAATGTACGGAATATGTACTTGAACAATATATGACAACGTGAAATGTAGATACTGGTTGCTCTCATCTCTTGTCCTTTCGGTATATATCCCCTGTAGTACAATTTTCCAAGCGTGCGCGATATGTAAACTTCCCAGTGCCTAATCTCACCTGTTGATGTCCTGCTGTGTTTGCTTGATGGATTCAATGGCACTTTGAAGTTCACTAAGGTCCGCACCCTTTTTGCGCAGACGGCTGCTGTGTTTGCTCTTGTGTCCTGTAACCGCACAAATATATGAACCCTATTTTCCGTACGATAAGGCGCTTCGGAGTATAAGGCGCACCTTCATTGAATGGCCTATTGTAAAACTGTTTTCAATTATAAGGCGCGTAGAATGGAAGCCACAATAGTGGATGCGCTATGCAGCCACTAGGTGGAGCTATGCTAAAGGTAATACAAGACAATACAGCTTTATTTATATAGAACTTTCACAACCACTGCAGCTGTAACAAAGCACTTTACAGAACATTTAAAATACTACGTCCAAGAAAGCAGAATATAAAGTGCATCGAATGATAAGGCGCACTGTCGGCTATTGAGAAAATTGAATGGTTTTCGGTGTGCCTTGTAGTGCGGAAAATACGCTATTTCTGAAATTACACCTTCAAACCTGAAATGGATACTTCGTGAGGGTCAAGGGCAATATGTTATGTAAAACAAGTACCCCAGTTTCAATTTGGACGTAATATAAATTGAGAACAGGAGTCTCACGTTCACTTCCGGAGGAGTCCTGGCGGTCAAGTTCAGGCGAAGAGCAGCCACTCTCTGGGTTTTTGGGGTTGTCGCTCTTGTGTTTCCTCTTCGGCACCGTTACCTACACAAACACACACGCAAAACCACACACACGCACACATGTATGAATGTCTTAGCCAATATGTAACGTTGGCTAGAACAGAATGAGCTTTAAGTTATACATAATGCACACCGAATTAACAACATGACAAGAAATCATTTCACACATGCAATTCACACAAACAGGATGGCTGGTGCAGAGATGTCAGCAGTAAGATAAGAGGGAGGGAGGGGAGTATCTGGATGGACCAAATGTGCAAATCTGTTTAACTTATATGTTAAATAATAAAGAGCTAAATGGCAGTGAATGTAACATCATGGGACATGAGAACATGCTTTGGCCACAAAATTAGGACCCATCTCCACCGTTAGATGCGGTCCAATGCATGAGCAATGCACCTTGTATGTAGCCAAAATAAAACGTGTCCCTAATGTAGTGGCCAGTGAATGCATGGGAGTAATTAATTTTCTTATTGGTGCACCCCCCCACCCCCATTACCACTTTTAGCCCCAAATGTTGCCTCTAATTTCACCATGCACACATTCAACGGCACTATCACTGCTATTAAGGCACATGTTACTGCCCCATCCAGTCATAGAAAGCAGATGGAAGTAACATACTTTCAATTTTTGAAACAGACAGAATAAGGCAAAGGGAAAAAAAAGGGCAAAAACAGAATGATGGAGGCGATGGGGGGGAAAAAAAGTATTGAAAACCAAAAATGAAGCTGCTGAGATGGTGGCTGAGGCGGCGAGATGTTTTTTTTGGGGGGGGGAAAAAAAAACAAAACCTACCTGGCACTTGCAATTGTCCCTCCGCGGCCCCTGGTTACTCAGACTAATAAGACTGCCAGAACGTACCATGGGGGTGCGGTGTCGGACCTTGGTCTGGATACAACCGTCTTTTTCGAACTGGATCAGGTCGTTGAGTGGGTCCCATGGCCTTGTGCTGCAGAAGATGAGATTTTGATTTTCTTTTTTTTTTTTAATTTTCTGTATGCTATTTTTGTGCTACAGTGAAACTCCTCTATAACGAAAACCTACATGGGCGAAAATACCCCCTAGTGTGAAAAAAATCTTCATGCATTAACACCATTCACACTTTCCTGCCCCCAATGCAACGAAAAAAAACCCTGTTGCGTTATACGAAATCTTTTTCTCTGCTCTTGCCTCACGACGAGATTTACTACAACGAAGTCTAATCCAACAGCGACCTCTACTGCTTCATTCGGAAACGGCTACAGCAACCACCACACTGGTTTACACATGCGCAGTAGTCCAGCAAGTACTGTATTTGTTATTGTTCGTTTCAGACACAGCAAGAGCTGTGGTAGTTGAATCATGTTTCTGGTTACAGCCACTTATCAATGGGTAATGATAATGAAAAATAAATGCAATTGATTTTTTAAATGTAGCCCAGACTGCACCATTATTATACAATTATACAATCGGATATTCAGTGCCTTTGTTGGACTCACTCAGCATATTTATAATGCCACTCTCCAGTGACGGAGTCCTGCTCGAACAGAGTGGGGTTCCATTCCTCGCACTTGGCTTTCCTCTCCCGCGCCGACTTCCTCTGACTTTCCTCCAGGATGAACTTTTCGTTGGTGGCCTCCGTCTGGTCCTTGCTGTTGATGGCCCTCGTCACGTGCTGCCACAGTCTAGAGAAAAAAAAAAACGGCGGCGGGGAGAGAATGAGCTCAACCATGTCGATTTTGACCCACAAAGATGTGAAAGCGCACCTCTCGGATTCAAACTCCCCCTGCTCCTCGGAGGGGACGGTGCAGCGTGTCAGACGGCTCTGCCTCAGGTCTGGCGTTGGGTTCCAGAAAGTGTCCACCGTTCCCGTCTTCTTGTCATTGATGAAGATCTCGCTGTCCTAATGGAGGACACCGTCATGATAAGAGTGAAACTACAGATTGACACTTCACATGTTATTTATGAGCAAATCTGACCAGGCTACACATACATATGAAACCGTAAAAATATCACAACTCTTGAGTGTGTTAGCATTCTGCTCACAAATGAGCTCCCGTGTGAAATTCTTGCTGCTGCAGCCTCTCCGGGGCCCACATTTGCATTTTCTAGGTCCTTCACTTAAGAGAATCTTACCCAGTGTCCCTCAAGAGTTGCCAGCACTTCCTTCCCCAGCTTTATCTTTCCGGAGATCTGGTTGACACTGTCGCTGCTTCCTAGGAATGGCTGCGAAGCCAAGAGCGAGTGGCAAGAGTTTAAGGAGCAAAAAAGGGATCAAAAAATTTAAGTCTTGTCCTTTTTCTTTTTTTTTTGAAAGGATACCGCTCCAATACAGCCGCAAATCTACCTTGAGTTTGAACTCCAGCTGAGAACTGTAGCCTGTCTTCTCACACGCAATGGTGATCTGACCACCCAGCTCCAGAGTCATGGTGCCGTACAGGATGCCTAGCATAGCACAAAAAAAAATAAATAAATAAATAAAATACCGGTCGATAATGTGTACTTTACGTTATAATCGCCTGGATGCAAAGTTTCTGTGCCGCTCTTGTGCAATAAGCATACACTGGCCAGCAAAATGACAATAGCCAGAATGCTAGGCCTGCGTATTTGCAAAGCTCAGGTTCTGCCCGCAGTTGTCATGGCAACAAAGGGCAACATTTATTTCAGCAGCATGAGACTGCATTTCTTGATTAAAAAAAAAAAAATTAAGTGTGGCAAAGACGTGAATTGGTTTTGTCATGATCCTGTTCTTGTGTGTCTCCAGCAGGTGGCAGTGGAGTGCCTTCCCTCCAGCATGCACACCGGCTGACAAATTGTTCATCAAGTTAGCCCGAGTATTTAAGGACTGCCAAGATCCCAAGTCTCTGTCCGGTTATTGACCTTGTTTGCCGCTCCTGCTCAAGTGTTGGTTTTCTAGACCTTTCGATTCCGTCATTGTCGTTTTTTTGCGCGATAGTCTCTGGCTTGCAAATATTTATATTATTTTGTCTTTTGATCTTGCTTTTTGTTTCGTGTATTTGTTTATATTCTCAGATGAACCATTTCCTTGCTTTCGCAAGCGCTTTTGGTGAATTTTGTGGTTTTTCCTGGTTCTTGTTGACCAGCGATTTCAAACCCCCCCCTCAAAAAAAACCACAATGTCTCTCCTTTCAGACTTGCATTCACTTTGCGATTCCATTTGAAGCGCATCGAAGCGTGTGCGCACTCAACAATGGATAAATATTTAATGTGGCCATACACAGACCTTTACAATGAGCGTAGGGCATGTTCATCACGTAGTCCTCTCCCCGGTTGAGGAAAGTGAGTCGAGCCTCACCGTCCAATATGGCCGACAAGGAGTTTCCTATAAAAAAATGCAACCCCCCAAAAAATGGTAAATACAACTGGCATATGCTTTAATAGTAAGATTTCTCTGTGCGGGTACCATAGAACTTGGACTTGGCAAGGATGCTTCCGCTTAGGCAGAATCCATCCTTCCTGTTGCTGACATAAAAGGCTGACACAGGGGGGTGATGGGATACCTGAATAGAAAGGATACGGTGAAATTTTAGACACAAATGAGAAACTGAGAATTAGACTGGGATAAATAAATAAAGAAACAAAAAGGGACAATTTTTGGATTATCCCTCGACGAAACGAACCTGCAGTTCCAACGGTGACACATAGGGGGCAGTCTATTATTGCACATTTTTTTTAAACTTGGCGGACTCCACTGCATTGTAGAGTTCTTTTGGTACCTGTTCTGCAATGTAGAAGGTCTTGCTGGTGGTCTTTTGGTGGAGCCACATGCAGCGGTAAGTCTCGCCGATAATGGGGTTATAAGGCTTCTTCAAGCCCTGTTGGTTCACAAGCAATAACGAAATTCTCTTTCTGATGTCATCGGCAGTGGGCGGAATGTTTTTGCTCGGAATCCACACCTTGGGCTTTTTATAGAACCCAGAAATGTACCACTTGACCACTTTCTTCATCCGGTTGTAGGCATTTTCCTCGACCGCAGCCCTGATGGTGGAAAGAAACACAGCTGTGAATATGAAGCATCGCGAAACTTCATTTAATACATCTGAACCACTACTCGAGGCTAACTTCATTTTCATCCCAGAGAAGGAGGTACTTCAGTCGTGCTTTTAGCTTGGGTGTCAGTGCAATTCTGAAATGGCGGACAGCGGAATGGATGGGAAGCTCTTACTCTGACAGGAAGTCGGCATGGTAATAGTAGTCAGAGAGTTTATCCAGGAAGGACCTCGGCTCCAGGATGAACGTGGGCAGGACCACTTTGGACAGATCCATTCCCGGTCGCACTTGCTTCAGGAGAGTCCAGATCAGGGACTTGTTCTCCTCTGACACCGTCTCCGTCTGGGCAGCCTCGCCTGCCTGCCACGACAGTCAAAAGGAATAATCACGACGCGCAATTGAATATTACAGGATTTCATTAAAAGCATGGAGGACTGAAATGCTTGAATTATATGGGAGGGTATTTAATGAGTGAGCTGTCAAAGTCGTCGTAGTGCGGACACATCATCAATTGCAGAATGAGCTCCACCAGAGAACGTGCTCATTTGCTGCGGTTGCATGATGCATCCACTAGATGGAGCCACACTGAAGGTAATACAATACAATACAATACAGCTTTATTCATATCGTGCTTTCACAACCGCTGCAGCTGTAATAAAGCGTTTGGCAGAACATTTAAAAGACAACGTCCAAGAAGTCAGAATATTTGATCCATATATAAGGCGTATCGGATTATAAGGCACATTAAAAATTTAATGCTTCTAGATGCGCCTTATAGAGCGGAAAATACAGATTCAAACTAGATACCTCGCCCAGTTCCTCATGACACTGTTCCAGGTAGGGCGTTTCCCGCACGTGCTCATTGGGGTCCATGTCGACGTACGAATCTTCCTGGCGCTCCGATGTGTCGCTGTCGCTCTCCTCGCTCTTCTCCAGGCCTTCCGGGTCCGACTCCTCGTGGTCCGGCTCGCCCTCCCGGTCTGACTTGTCGGAGTAGAGGTCTGGGTCTTTTAAATGATCGCTGTCGTTAAACCTTGACAGGAAAATAAAGCACTGTTTATATCGACCGATTTATCCTTGCACCAATAATGATAACCTGTAACCTTATATAACATGATAAGCTGTCCACTGTAGTAACAACCGCTGTCCCTGAAAGGGTTAAAAGTCACGCTCGGAATAAATGTCGTTGTGGGCACCGCACTTGAATTAGTCAATAAAATTGATCAATCGGCAAGGCTTCGATTGAAATATTTATTGAGGCTTACTGGAATCCATGCATGTTGTGAGCACGTAAGAGGCTGTAGAAATTAAGGGAATGTTCTCCTCCAGAGGCCACCGTGCTCACGTCTTCCTTGCCCTCGCGGATCATGGTTCTTTTGAGCAGACTGGAGCACTTCAGGGCCAGTTCCCATGATCCCATCCAGCAACGACCTAAAAAAAAACAAACAAACAAAAAAAAAACAACAACAACAACAAAAGAAGAAAATTTGAATGAAGTTTGAATTTGACTGGTTCATTCCCAACACAGCCACATCCCCAGATTGAAGCTGGCATTATTTTAGTTATGGATTTGTACTTCCCATCGCAGAAAGAGTTTACCAATCGTGCGCTCCAGAAGAAATTGCACCCCGACCATTAACGCCCGACGTGTTGATTTAACAGGAAGCCGGCGTGAACGCAAGCCATTTTCACGTTTTTTTTTTGTAGCAGGGACACAAAGAGGCAGACTCGTTGCTTGTTTCAGCACCAAGGACAGTTACATCACGGGTGAACTCCCTTTGAATATTTTAGCACCTTGGACAGAGACACACCACGTCGGATTGACTCTTTACTTTCTCCGCTTTACTGTTTCAGATCGATTTTGGAGTTTAATTCGTTTCGTGATTGCACTCGTGTCTCGAAATCAACTAAATCAAATAATGGAAACAAGGGCTGTCTCTGTTCCATCCCTTAGCCCCCCCAAAAAATTGTATCATACCTTTTGTCTCAACCCCCCCCCCCAAAAAAAAAGTTAAATACAGTGTAAATAATTCAACAGTTTGTGCATGATGATTCCATGTTTTAATTTAATGGTCATGGTGCTGCTCGTTCTGGTGTGTGCACCTTGACCACCGGTGGGCAGTGTAACAGAAATATCCATGATGTCATCAGCAAATTTAAGGTTGTTTCATATTCTATTTTGGACGTGGTTTGGTTGACTCCTGTGCACAATGTGTTTTTCTCTTTGTTTGATGTTTACTTTGACGTCAACTTGAAGCAAGCACACTTGACCTCTTTTCAAATTTTGGGTCACAGCACAATTAAAGAAAAAAAAAAATTAGCTAATGACAGGTTGCAAGTGAAAAAAAAAATTGTATTGTCTCTTACCATCGGACTCGGAGGCTGCACGGAAGATGAGGTGGCTGCTGGGTAACGGCTGAGTGATGGAGCCCACCGCTTCCCCTTTGGGACCCTGAAAGGACTTTGAATCATTGACACGCACTAATTGGAAAACCGGTGATGCACATGCTTTTTGATAGTGGAGAAACAACACCCCCCCCCCCACACACACACAGACACACACACACTGAATGGCTGTGTTTGTTTTGAAGGTGGAGAGCTGTAATCAATAATCAAGAGGAAGCATTACAAACACAATCATGATTGGAGTGGATTGAATGCTTTGTTGTGTGTACGTGTGTGTGTGTGTGTGTGTTTTTTCTTTTATAGATGCTCCCTTCATTTTGCACTTGACATTCACATCCTGTTTTGTTCATCTGTGGGAAACAAAGGGATTTTGTCTGTGGCATTTCCCATTTAAACCGCTCCCATTGTACTTATCCTGCCATTAGGAGCGAGTGATAATTCGGGATGGGTTTATGGGGTCGTCCTTTGTCACGTGTCACATCATTTTGGATTTTAGCTCAATGGTACAGTCGCAAGGCTTCAACTCGGGAGATTAAATTCCAATGAATGACTCCCCTCCTTTAAAAATAGAAATTGTTACAGCAAGGTAATAATTTATAACTATAAGAGATGGGCGAGGACCGATACCAGGTATCGGGATCGGGCTGATACCAGGCCTTATTTCAAGATATCACTATTTGCAATGGTGGCCGATAACCATCTAATGCTCTGTTTTGGGAAAATGGTAATAAAAAACTATGACAGATGGGCGAGGACCGATACCAGGTATCGGGATCGGGCTGATACCAGGCCTTATTTCAAGCTATCACTATTTGCAATGGTGGCCGATACCTGTACCTACTGGTCTATTTTGGCAAAATGGTAATAATAAACTCTTACAGATGGGCGAGGATCGATACCAGGTATCGGGATCACGGGATTGGGCTGATACCAGGCCTTATTTCAAGATAGCACTATTTGCAATGGTGGCTGATACCTGTATTGACTGCTCTTTTTTGGGAAAATGTATCTATCAGAAGTACTAGGAGTATCGGAATTTGGTATCGGTACAGGTGAGTATCGGAATTTGGTATCGGTACAGGTGACTAGTACTTCACTCATACTGGTATCGGTCTGTAAAAAAGTGGTCAGCTGAGCTTTTCATTCCAATAAACAATATAAATATATACTGCAGAGCACAATAATAATTACAAAAATAAGAACACAAAATGAGGTGTTTCATCTTTTCTATATTATAAAGGAATCATAATATTTCATCAGGGCTTCATGTAGGGGATTTTCCTGACTTCCATCAACGAAATTCTGACCTTGACGGCCCAGATGGACTGCTCCAGGGGGTGAAAGAGCTTGAAGCAGAAGCCGTCCTTCTTGGAAGGTCGCTCGATGAGCTCGCAGGCGTTGAGCAGCACCGTGCCCACCCATTGGCCGTTCTTGTGGGTCTTGTAAATCAGCAGGACGCCCGGTTTCAGCACGCACCACAACTTGGTCCAGCTCTTCAGCGTTCCGCGGATCTGCGGGCGACCATGTAACTCGATGACACCGTATCAAGTCAACTTATTTAATTAACCCCTTTCAGGGACAGCGGTGACTACAGTGGACGGGTTTTGAATCAAAGACGTCTCGTTTACCTTCAGCCAGTCAGCCATGACAATGACGGAAGGATCCGTGATGGTACTGAGCAGCTCTTTTGTCGCCCTTTTCTTCTCCTCCCTGTAACCCTTTCAGGGACAGCGGTGACTACAGTGGACAGGTTTTGAATCCAAGACGTCTCGTTTACCTTCAGCCAGTCAGCCATGACAATGACGGAAGGATCCGTGATGGTACTGAGCAGCTCTTTTGTCGCCCTTTTCTTCTCCTCCCTGTAGTTCTTCTTTTGGACCTAAAGACGGCATTATCACAACGTTCCACTATGGAATGAATTGAACTCTTTCAGGGACAGCGGTCACGACAGCGGACAGCTATTCAAATGTTGTTTTCTCCTTTTTTCATTCATCTTAACTCATTCACTCCCAAAGACGTTTTTAAATGTCTTTTCAGACTTGGTCCAGAATTGGCTGGTACCGAATGAGTTAATGTCACAGTTGTGCATGAACCACTACAATGGATCCTTATATGTGTTGCCATCCACTGCCATTATTATTTTTGTTGCTTAAAGACTCATAAAAACATTTGAAGGGAAAAAACAAAATCCTGATGTAGGTTTTCATTATTTGTGCATGAAAGGTCAATGACAGCCAATGACATAACCGGTTATCGGGATATACAGAACAGATTGGCGCCCTAAGCGTGTCCGGATAAACAACGTGTAAGCTGATTTAAAAGGGTGGCTTTTACCTTGAGGGACTCCTTCTTGGTGAGCTTGCCTCCAGACGCGGACACGTCCTTGTCGGAGCCATTGTACAGCTTGGTTTCCGACTGCGAATGTGCCAAACGACAAATAAAATAAGATGACCCCACTGACGGGGTCCGTTTTGCTTTCTTTAATATTCAACTTGGGAGTTTAATTGTCACTAAGTCGAACGCCTTCCTTGTAAAGCAATGAGGCTTTTCGTAGAAACTCGGCACACGGCGAGTTGAATCGGACCTATAAAAGGCACACCTGGAGGTGTGGGAATGCGTCTGCCAGTTAGCGACGCAAGCTAGTCATTTCGATCCCGGAGACAGACGAGGAGAAGAAAGGATCATTAAGTCGGGTTTAGTAAGGCCCGAAATAAAAAGCCAGCACAGGAAGGAAATGACGAAAGTTCCACAATAACAAAAGGAACGGCGCAAACTATTTCAGACGGCATGCCTGGATAGTCGAATGAGAGAAATGCCTTTTTCGCGCGTTGGCCTTGCTATTATGAATGTGCGTCATCGTGCACCTTGCTCTTGGATATGGAAAGTGAGTCTTCTTTCAAAGGCAGTGACAAAAGGTCCTCCTTCCCTCTCTCGAAACCTACAATGAAAAGGCAGAAGAAGGGGGAAAAAAAAATCAAAAAAATCAATCAACACATCAGCATTTGTCAACGCGTGACACAAATACAATGGCAGTCCATCTCTTGCAGGTCTATTTTTACTTCCAGAGCTAGAAATAAGATAAAAATACATCCATGCATCCATTTTCTAATCCGCTGATATTCAGGAAGCATGTTTTTGCAATGTGGGAGGAAACCAGAATACCCGGAGAAAACCCACACAGGCACGGGGGGAGAACATACTAACTCCACACAGTAAGACCGGAGCCGGGGAATCGAACCCCGGCATCCCTCTGCACTGTGAGGCGGACGTGCTAACCTGTCGTCCGCTTTGCCACCGCCAAAAATATGCTCAAATGCATTTCGATATTTAGCGCGCAAGACTCCCGTTTGTGTCGGGGATCCCGAAAGCATATAACAACAACTTCACTTTCATGCACCCCGTAACCTGATAACATGACAAGATGTCCACAGTAATGACCGCTGTCCCTCAAAGGTCATAAAAGGTCATGAAGTCATAACGCGCCAGCCTTGGTTGGTTATGATGGGTGCATATGCGTGCTAGCATTGAATGGAGGGGGAAAAAAATAATAATTCAAGTTTGTTTTCATCCGGTGCGGTCCCGGCAGACCATCTGCACCCACTTGACGCACAACACCATGCCAACCTCTTGCGGTAAAAAACATCAAGGGCAATTCAAGACACGAGATGGTGTGACTCAGCATTTTTTTTCCTCTGTATTTTAATACAAGCAGTGTAGGATATGTTTTTGCAATGTGGGAGGAAACCAGAATACCCGCAGAAAACCCACACAGGCACGGGGGGAGAACATGCTAACTCCACACAGTAAGACCGGAGCCGGCATCCCTCTCTACTGTGAGGCGGACGTGCTAACCTGTCGTCCGCTGTGCCGCCGCCAAAAATACGCACAAATGCATATCGATGTGTAGCGCGCAAGACTCCCGTTTGTGTCAGGGATCCAGAAAGCATAAAACAACAACTTCACTTTCATGCACCCTGTAACCTGATAACATGACAAGATGTCCACAGTAATGACCGCTGTCCCTCAAAGGTCATGAAGCCATAACGCGCCAGCCTTGGTTGGTTATGATGGGTGCATATGCGTGCTAGCATTGAATGGAGGGGGAAAAAAATAATAATTCAAGTTTGTTTTCATCCGGTGCGGTCCCGGCAGACCATCTGCACCCACTTGACGCACAACACCATGCCAACCTCTTGCGGTAAAAAACATCAAGGGCAATTCAAGGCACGAGATGGTGTGACTCAGCATTCCCTTTTCCTCTGTATTTTAATACGCGCAGTGTAGGACAATTACAAGTTGTACCCTTGGAATACTGCGGCATCCAGCCATCAAGTACGCTGCATCGCACCAAACGTATCAATCTGGAATCAAAGCCGCCAGCTTTCATTTTCTCAAGAGGCCCGGCTGGCTTTTCTTTAGTTCCTCGTATTTGTCCTTTTTGAAGGAGATAATGGCGACGCTGCTGATAAAGATTTCACAGGGGGGTTTAGATGAGGTCAGATTCTTGTTTCGGCTGCCTCTGCTACCACAAAGATTCTCTCGAGGGGGGATTTTATTGTTGGAGAAAAGTAATTTTCAGGTTCTTGGCTTTCTTTTTTTTTTTGCAGCTCTCTCGACAGAATGACAGCAATAGTGCTTAAAGAATGAGGTTCGCGTCACAGCATCCCTCCATTAACCCTTTCATACACGAATGATGTTAACCTGGAACCTGATAAGCTGTCCACTGTCGTAACCGCTGTTTGAAAATGGAGAGGGGGGGGGGGTGGGGGGGGGGGGGTCCCCTTTCTTCTCCTCACATTTTTCACAGATTTGAAAAAAAAAATAAAAATAAAAAAATTCGGATTAAAATGTCATTTAAAAAAAAAAAAAAAAAAACAAAGCTCATTGAAATTGGAAGAGTCTGCATTTAAAACTGGACGGGCGGCCCTTAGGATGAGTACTCAATGTATATGCTAAACATTGAGCCCAAAAAAACCGAATTACAAGATGCTAACTACGCTTTTTTTATAACGCAAAACAATGACAGCCCACGGAAATCAAAAGAGATTGAATTAAATCTTTTTTTTTTTTTTAAAGGGAGCAGATTGACAGCAATTTGGCCTGTTTGGGATTTTCGCCAACTGCCTCATTATTATTTTGGCAGATGTCTTGGGGGGGGAGGAAAAAAAAATGAAATAAATAACATGCCAGCTCCATTTAAAGGGAAAATGAGACCAAATCCTCTCCGTGTGTGGCATCCAATGTCAAGTAGTCACACGATAAGAAGCAGCTCGGCGAGCTTTTGACTCGTTTTACCGTCAAAAGACGCTTTTGCGGCTTCCGACTCTCGCCCGTTTGAGCGTTGCGCATTCAACTGGAGTGAAGGCATAGCCCCAATGAATCGAATTGTAGTAAAAGGTGTCAAGATAGGTTGCATCGTATTAACAAGCGCGGAGACATGCCGTCCACTCGTTTTGGCCTGACAAAAGATAATGTCGAAACGTAAGGATGATTTTTCTTCAATTCGGTATGAAGAGGAAAAACGGAGGAAAAAAAAAACATTCCGTTTGAAAGACTGTGGCGGATTATATCATAAAATAAATAAATCATCGGCCGGCATGAAATAAACTGACAAATGAATGCGGGCCATTTGATATTAGGATGCTAGTTAATATGTTGTGCATCGAAAAAGGTTAAATAGTCTTCCTCGGTAACAATCAATGATGAAAGATTAATTTAGAGTTGAGCCGGTGCCAGGACAACAAACACAGGTGAGTCACAAACCTCATCCCTCAAACTGGCTTCTATTACCCCCCCCCCACGAAATTGAAATTGCTACGATGGCGCTAAAGGCGACAAAACCGCATTTGCGTAGACAAAAACAATATCACAAAGCAATAAAGAATGACCAGCTGCCGTCTGCGATTTGGTCTCGCAAAAAGAGATGGCCGCCTGTGAGCGATTCCAAAAATCGGAGGACGGAGCTCTGGCTGGGGGACAAATAATGACTCAGACTGCCTGAAAGTATGTACGGCCAGAGTGACATACGAGTTAAAGAGAAGCCGGCTGGCAACCAAATGGTGACAAACAACAAATAAACGAATGGCGGCATGCATGGAAAAACTCCTCAAATGATTCAACCTGACTTAAAAAAAAAAAAAATTCTTCTCTTTGGGACCAGTAACTAAATTTCTTTCTTTCTATACATCGTCCTTTGCTATGCCGACAGTAAAGTATGCGCAGCGCCTGTCAGAACACAAGACAGCAGCAAAACGTGATGTCATGGCTAACTGTCACTTGGGTGGCTTGGGAGATTTTTAATGTATTTAAAACTCATTCAGTACCAGCCAATACTGGACCAAGTCTGAAAAGACGTTTCAAAACGTCTTTGGGAGTGAATGAGTTCATCACACAGGCTAAGCGGTTTCGCCCAGCGCAAACCCTGCACGTGGATACCGTGAATTTAGAAAAAAAAAAACATCAGCCCCTAGTATCGGATGCGCCATTGGTATCGGCTGCCATCGCGAGTACTTGAAGAAAAAAAAAAAAAGGGCTGGTATCACCCACCCATAATAATAAATAAATAATTTCACTCATAGCAGTTGAATAAATAACAATGAGATCATATTTATAGATTAACTAAGAAACATATGGAGAAAAAAAAGAACTTAGGAGTTAAATGATAAAAATCATTTGAAATTGTTGGTTGTGTATCACTCAAAACAAATTCAAACATATTGTTGTTGTTTTAACCCTTTCGTGCACCCTGTAACCTGATTACATGATAAACTGTCCACTGTAGTGACCGCCGTCCCTAAAAGGGTTAAAAATGTTGGTTTGACGATCAATCAAAAATTAAAAAAAAAAATTGTAATCACAAAAAGTCATTTAAGTGTGTTTGTTGGATTTTTTTTCTCCCAAAAATATGGAAAGAAACACAAAAAGTATTCTCAAATTGGGGAAATTTTGAACACTGCAGCAATCATAAACTATTTTTTTTGTTTGTAGAAATGTCAGTTTCTTTTTTTTTTTGGGGGGTATATCAAATTTCATTATCGAGGGTATGCAAAAAAAAAAAAATACATCCTATGTATTCCCCCAGTCTGGAATTTTCTGAAGTCACATTTGTTGTGCACTATACGGTTTCCTCCACATAGCCACTTTGGCACTGTCAATTCAAACCGCATCGGAACAGTGAGCACGCAATGCAAACAAGCGAACAATATGGATCATATTAAAGGTGCAGCAAAGTTCGCAAACATGGCATCAAAGGTGTCCTGGCTGCTCCGCCGGCTATGTTGCCAAGGCAATCGCCTAGGATTGCTGTTTACCGTCGGCATGATCATAAAAGTGGCTACTTGTACTTCCAAGTTGTCCACACTGTTAACTTCAACGGATACGTACACCCAAAGAAAAGCCACAAACTGACCAAATGGCAACTACGAAAACACGAGTCACACCTTCTCTAATGACTCAGCATTACGACTCATACAAACACGTGTCGATCACAAGGCACAACTAAAAGGACGGACCGTCTACCCCTACGATCCTACCCGACACCCACCTGACAGCGAAAGGGGCGACAGCTCGTTATAACCCCCGAAAGAGGCATTGCGGATGAGTTTGCGTCCGTCCGGGTGCGGCGGTCGTAGCGAGGCCGCGCCGCCGCAGGTGGAGAAACGGCGACGCCCCAGCAGGCCCTCCTCCTTCATCATGGGTGATCCCTCGGCGAGCGGGGGCGGAGGACGGATGGGTGGGGCGTGAAGTGGGTGGGGGCTGCCGGTGGCTGTGGGTGAGCAACCCCGTGGGTAAAAGGTAAAAACGGGCGTTGGGGGTGGGGTTGGGGGGGGTCCCGCGCTCCTATGGCGAGCCAAGCAAGTGAACCAAAACAAGACAGAGCAAAAGAGCTCAGAGTGGAGTGCGGCGGTGTTTCCTCGATGCTTCCCTCAGCTGACTGGCTACCTCCCTCCCTTTCTCTCCCTCACTCGATTGTGAGCGACGAGGCACGCAGCACACTGAAAGTACGTCGCAGCCCCTCCTACTCACTCCCCTCCGGATGGGGAGGAGAGCTGCATCCAACTTGGGTGAGGGGGAGGGGGGCGGGGCAGGGGGAGCCTATCTTCTGTCTAATGCTTCACCACAGGAGATGTCCACTTCATTTGAAAGGCTAACCATTCATTGTTGCGTTTTAATGTACAAACAACACCCACATTTGAAAAAATATTCCTTTTGGACTTCTTGGGGGGGGGGGGGGGTTGAGCACTTTTTTTCATAAT